CTCCTTGGATGGAACCATATATAAGAAAAAATACAGAACTTCGAAAATGTGCTGCAAACAATTTTGAGAAAGACTTTTTTAAACTAATGAACAATTCAGTTTTTGGAAAAACAATAGAAAATATTAGAAAGCGTCAAAATATAGTACTTGTTGATGATCGTAAAAAAGCATTAAAACTATCAAGTCGTCCAAACTTTGATAGATGTACAATATTTGATCCAAATCTTATTGCTATTCATATGAAAAAGACAGAAGTGTATTTTAATAAACCAGTATATGTTGGTCAAGCAATTTTAGACTTATCAAAAACTCTAATGTTTGATTTTCATTATAATTATATCAAAGATAAATATGGAAAAAAAGCTGAAATGTTGTTTACAGATACTGATAGTCTAATGTATCATATTAAAACAAAAGATTTTTACAAAGATATATTTTATGATATAAAAAATAAATTTGATACTAGCGATTATCCATCAGATCATCCTTCTGGAATAACTGCAGGAGTTAACAAAAAAGTAATAGGAATGTTTAAGGATGAAGCATCAGGAAAACAGATAACTCATTTTGTTGGATTAAGACCTAAACTATACAGTTATAAAGTTGAAAGTGAAAAAGAATTAAAAAAGTGTAAAGGAATAAAAAAAAATGTGGTAAAAAAATCAATAAACTTTGATGATTATGTTAGATGTTTATTTTCTGGTGAAAAAGAAATGAGAACTATGAAAATAATAAGAAGTGAGAAACATGATATATATTCTAAAGAGGTTAACAAAATAGCTCTTAGTAGTCAAGATGATAAGAGACATGTGTTAAATGACCAAATACATACTCTAGCTATTAGAGAAAAATATTAGAATTAAGGTTTAACAAGTAGAAATAATAAATGTCATATACAGAAGAAGAAATAAAAAAAATATCTCAATATTTTACATAATTATAAAGAAGAAAAAAGTGAGGTGTTTAAGAAGAAAAAAGTAGCTTCATGTTTAGGCTGTAAAAATACAGAATCTTTTTTCATTGATTTTGGTCAAAAAATATGTTACAATTGTGGAATGTTAAACGGTCATGTATTAGGATTTTATGATTTGAAAGATTATGATAGGGTACATTATAGAAAAAAGAGTATTTATCATAGGAAGTATTACTACGATAAAAAGGTTAATCAGATTTCTAAACTAATAGATCTTCCTGATGAACAAAAATGTGAACTTTACAACAGGTTATTAAAAATAGATAATTACATTATGGAAAATATTAACAAAAAATATTTTAGAAAGAGAATGATAAATATTACTTATGTAATAAAAAAAATTTTGAATGAAATGAGGTGTGAAAAGTATAAGAGTATAAAGCTTAAAATAAGCCCTAAAACTTTAGAAACTTATGATAGATGGTGGGAAACTTATAAAGAAATAATAAAATAAATTTTTATATTAAAGTAATAATATAAAAATTTAATCTTCTAAATATAAACAATCGTGATAATATACTTCAAACATATGCATAAATGCTTTTTTCATACAAAAAAGATCTTCATCTATTTCAAAATCATAACCTTTACTTATTTCTAATTTAATATCCATTTGACTTAAAAAATTAAATAT